ACATTTGTAATAAATTACTTTGCCCAGTGAGTGGCTTCGCCAAAGCTCCCTTCCGTAAAGTAGCAAACTTCAGGCCACACCAGAAAGTAGGCTTCAGGCCAGCTCAAAGAATCTGAGCCTTATGTTTATTTGTTTGTCTTCTGAGTTTCCTTGGAACATTCTGAGCACAGACCCTCAAACCAGCAAGGTTCCTGTCTCAGCCTCCCGAGTGCTGTCATCCTACACGTGTACCGCCACGCCCAGCTCATCACCCAGCTCTCAACCTGGAAATCTAAGGAAAGCACACTTCTAGAGAATGTCACAAGATAGGTGTCACACAGCTCCAACTTGCCCACAATTTTAACTGAAGCCTTATTTTCTATGGCCGTGAAAGCCTTTAGGATCATGAATAGCAGAATACCATCCTTATAAATGTTACCTTAGCCAGCCTTCTGCTAAAACTGCATCCTACCCATTCTGTAGCTGAAGCCCAAAATGCTGTGTTTTCCTTTCCTTTCTGTCTTGACCATGATGCTGCTCCCTTGCTGTACACTCAAGGACTATCCCCAGACCCTACCACAAAGGGAGGAAGAAGACAGAGTCTTACCCTCGGGTCCCTAAAAGTTGTCTCTTTAATGTCTCCATTGCTTACTTGTATTTCTTTGCCAAAGACGTGGGCTTCAAAATCTGCTCCCCGGTTTTCAAATCCACACATCTGCTATTTACTTTACGTCTTAATTCCCTGAAGCCACAGCAGACGCCTGATCCTATCACTAGAAAGATGTCAACACGCACAGGACAAAAAAAAAAAAAAGTAATCAAGAACTGTTCCGTGCAAAGACTGTTGGGAAAGTGCAATGTTAATATAGCAAGCCCAGCTTAGAGGCGACCAAATCAAAGATTAAAAAAACATCCTCTTGGTGAATAGAATCAGTTACTACATTCTATTACTGTCTTTAAATCAGTGCAGGCATATAGATGCAATCTTCACTTTGCTTAAAGAGGGTCTTTTTCCTCCCTCTTCTTGTCTTGTTTTCATACGCTCATGAGGTACAGCTGACTCTGACTGCTGTTCCCTATCTCAATGAATGAGCCACATCAAATTTTTAAAACTCCCCAATTACTATTTCAGTAAGCCCTTCCGTAAGACAGATGCACACGACACACGCAGAGGCCTCCTGGAACTTGTTTGCTCACAGCGGTATCTTTTCAGATTTTTCTCTACTAAATGACACTGTCACCGTGAGGCGTTAACTATGAATTCACACCGTTCAGCTGGAGTCTGCAACCTCTAGCGACTGCACCTGACTTTATGCCTGTAAACTACACTTTTACAGGAAGACCCAAATCAAATCAAGAGGGCAGGATTCTGGCTTCTTCTCTGTCATCTGCTTGGCTCTTGGACTTTCTTCTCACCCCTCAGTGTTTCTCTCAGGAACCAGAAGATAAATCAGAGGTGTCCCGGAATGCTCACAAGCTCACAGAATACAGAAGAGTTAGATTCTTACTATCAAGCTATCAGTTTTAGCACTAAGCTAGACACAATGCTTGCAAGCCAGGCTCTCTGTGTCCAGTCGTGTTTTCTACTCTATCCCTAAGAAGTTAATCATTTCTCTTTGCCCTCCTCCAGAAGAGCTGCTTCACACCCTCGCCTGGGAATTGCTGCCTTTTTCTTTACCTCTCCTGATGCCAGCCTTTCTGTTGACAATATGTATTCAGGCAAGGCAGGGGCTCGCTGCGTTTCTCTATCAGATGCTGTGCACACTACTTCCGTCAAAACAATTAGTGTTCATTTCGCCTTTACTCGGGGAGACCTGTGGTGACTGATCAGTATAAATTATGGATGCATCTGTCCAGATGCACTTGTTCATTCATGCATAGATTGGAGGAAATTTCATTCTCAGTTCAAAATCAGTCTCTAAAAATACTGCATACTTTTGAAAAAATGTGTTGCAGCATAGTCTCAACTATGCCATTGTGCCCCTGAACTCAGTCTCTCTATCTGTAATTTGAGACCTTTAGAGCTAATTTAGGGTTACTCTTTGCCTCTGGTCTTTTGTGTAAATCACTAGGAAATCATGGGAAGTTTGAAATCTAAACACTTCAGGATGGTTTGGTTTTCCTCAGCTTTGTTTGTATTTTGCCCTTTGCAAGGAGGTGTTCTCATGCTATTGCCAAAGACACATCCTTTACTTGGCTTGCTCAAGATCCTCAGTGCGCTTAACAAGGAGCAATATGATCTTCAAATGAACACTGTGGATTAGTGTTCTCTGTGGTCCAAATGGGCCTCTGTGCACTTTGTTTCCTATTAGTTTTAGTGAGCAGCTAGAAGAACTAGCAGACACGTTGCACATTATCACAAAAGAACCAATATCATTTTTCAAGAGACACTGAGTGGTTTTTGTTGGCTCCCTTAAATATAACTGGGGAGGGGGTTCTGTATTTGATGGGTTTATTTACTTGCTTCAATAAAATTCTATGAGCACACATATACAATTGGGGATTTTTCCCCCGAAAATAAATTAATCAGCACTGAACAAAGCAATGAAATGCTGACATGATGGAGGAGCCCAGAGCACCAGCCTGTAGAAGTGAGTCTGGAAACAGAGAGGAAGATGGGAGCAAACTCTATAGAATTCCTGAATTAGAAATTCCAAGAAAGAGACTTCTCTGCCCCGAGAGTTCTGCTAGAGGTGGATATTGGCTCAAATTGCTGCTTTTGTTTTCTTATGAGGCATATCTCATAATGATCATTTTTAGGGACTGCCACTAAAATATGCAAGGCATTTTCTAATGTCCAAGTGCCATCAGTACAAGGGGGCTTTACTGAACTTACACCCTGTCCCTGGGAAGGCTACCTAGAACTACGGTCTCTTAAGATAGTGAACACAGAGGGGACAGGGACAGCCTTCCTCCCTGGGATTCATTCTAATAAACGTCACCAAACCATAAAGCAACTCTGAAAACAACAGGTAAAGAACCATAACAGAAAGCACACTCCCTGTGTGTTCCCCGGACACAGCGGAAGGAAAAGGCTGTGCTCTGGTCAGTCCTGCTTCCCAATTTGTTTTGCCACTGGTTTTGAGTTTTCTTTCTTAAGCCTGTTGATTTTCTCACATGTGAGAGCAAACACAAGAAGAGCTAGGCCCAGAGTCCCCACACACAGCATTGACACCACAGAGGGCTTTATAAATCAGGGAAAATCAATAAATCCTATAAGGCAGTTTCTGCCTTGCAATATCACCAAGGGACAGGGCTAATGCTTTTTTTCCACCACCGTCCCCATTTTTCTGTCAAAAAAAATTCCTCAGCTTAGGAATGAATGGGCAATCAAAGTTGCTGAGTAAGTATTTCAGCTATCTAATTTTATTACTTTACAATTGACATACCTTCCCTCTGGAAATGTTTGCAATTAATTAATTAGTAGTAATCTTCCCCAGGGGACTAATTTAATGAATTTTTCCAATTTCTACTTTTAAAGAGAGAGAGAGAGAGAGAGAGAGAGAGAGAGAGAGAGAGAGAGAGAGAGAGAGAGCTTAGAGATACCCAAGCTATAAAGGGGTGGATTGCTCCAAAGTGGGTTTTGAAAAATCAAGGGATCTATTTATTACTGTGACTTTTTTATGACTAAGTCAATCTGGCAACGACTATAATTCTTTTTCTAACTAGGATTCTCATTCACAGTTTGACGGCAAGGTTTCTCCAAGGTAACCTCAGGCTGTGGTTAGACTGGGTTCTAGATGAGTGTGGTTTGTGGTCTGTTCTGCATAAGAGGTGAGCAGGTGCTGAGCCTAAGGTGTCATTCAAAGAGGTCACAGGGTATGGCTTACCAGGCCAGAGGCAAGCTTGCATGAAGAGTTTCCCGCCAGGGACCTCAACCATGCCTCTGATACTGAGATCCCTCTTCCAAGCAAGAACCCAAGCCTTCAGTACCCTCTGTGTCATGCTGTCACAAGAAAATAAATAGATAGATTTGCTCTTGTCCTTGAGCAAACCCCCACGACCGCTGGAGGAGATGTACCAAAGGTCTAAAAGCTGTCAAGTGCACTGCACTGGGATCCGGTGACGAAAAGAAAGTAATGACTTTCTGGTTTGCAAACTCCTCCTGGTGCCGCAGCAGCGCCGCCTAAGACCAGTCTGCACGTATCTCCTGTCTCTTAGACATCTAGTCCCATGTCGGTGTATTTGGAAGGGTGTCAAGCCTAAAGTGTGCAAAATGTATAGAGCACTGGTTTCCCTTGTCCCGAAAACAGAGAAGCAACCCACCCCCACCTCACCCCTTGGGAATCCATGCTCTTTTGAGAAGCCCCGCGAGGGGTTTCTTACACCACTGGGCCCAGCTGGGTATCCCTGGCGAAGCTCCCTCCTGAGCTCTCCACTGTGGCTCGTCAGCGCCACCCCTAGAGGAGCGCCGCCCCATGCAGCCGGACCCTGCTGCCTTCGACCTTCTTCCAGTCTCTGGGCGGACACCGCAGGCGGCGCTCGGGAAGCAGTCAAGCCTGGCCTTCGGAGGAGATGGCCCAGACTCTTGGCTGGCAGCCTACAGATGCCAGAGACCAGAATTGGCGCGTCTGTGGGAGCTCTCCAACAGATGCTACACCTTGATCTGGAGGGGGGCGCTCGTCGGTCTAGCCCAGGGTCAGACCTCTGCAGAGACACCCCAGGAGTCAAGGACCTGGCCAGGGTTGGAATTAGCCAATGGCTTTAGGAAACTGAGACCCAAGTCAGGTCCCCAAGGACAAACATGGGCTCCATCAAAGCTGCCCAGAGCTGGTCCAACCCTAGGAGCTCCGGGCCGGTGGAGCCAACAAACTTTGGTGTAGCAGAGAGGCAGAGGTGGGTTGGAGGTTGGTCCCGGGAGCCTTTGCTCTCCTCCACCTGCTCCGGCTCTGCCTCCGCCCAGCCCTCGCCCACCCCACTCCCTCCATCCCCACCCCCGCCATCAGACTCCTCATCTCTCCTCTCCCTCCTTCTTCTCCCCCCTTGTCTGACTCCCCCACTTTCCTCTGGGCTCTTCTTTTGTATTCTCTCTTCCCTCGCCGCCCCGCTTGCTTCTCGCCTCCTCGGGGCCGCAGGGGAGGAGGCGAGCACGCTGCGCCCTGGGCCCGCGCGGCTCGCAGGGAGGCGCATCTCCCACTTCTCCCGGGGAATTTGGAGAGGGTCTGTGTGTGTGCGCGCGCGCGCGTGAGCTGGAGGCGAAAGCTGGTAGGATCTAGCGGCGAGCAGAGGGTAAGGGTCTTTGACGTTCCTCACCCGCTGCACAAACCTCGCGGAGCAAGGAAGAGTGTCCGAGAGTGCGCGCATGTACACGGGCTGGCTGCCCTTGGCAAGCTCGGTGGCCCGGGGCCCCGGGGCCCGCGGTCCCCTCTGGCGGCCCGGGATTACCGTGACGTCACATTGAGCCTCTGGCCACCTTGGACTGGGACACCTCTGGAACCTCACAGCCCCGCGCCGTGCCGCACCTCACCTCGCCACCACGCGCCTTTGGCACCCTGCGCCTTCTTCCTAACTCTGCCGATCCATGGGCCCCTCTTCCTTCAGGACCCCACGGGCCGCAGGGGTGCCTTTCCACGAGCAGGGCTCGGCAGCTCGGCTGCCTTTGGCTCTGCCTCTGGTCCCTCTTAGCGGGCTAAGGAACTGGTGCCGAGCACCTGCAGCCCTGTAAGGAAACCAGAAGCTGCTCGCCTGGGGCCATCAAGTAGCTGAGCTGAGTCAGGGACTCTAAAGGAAAGAGGGAGACCGGCCCCGGACGCAGCTATGGCCTTCCCGCACTTTGGACATCCGTATGGCGGTGCATCCCAGGTGAGTGGTGCCTTATTGGGGAAGAGGGGGACTGGGGCAGGGGGGATGCCCGGTGGGCACTCTGACCCCTGAGCTTCCTCTTCTCGGTGACCCAAGAGAAGTCAGGAGCCAGGAGGGAAATGTGCCACAGCATCCTCTGACATCCGGATGTACGGATGTATGCCAGACTGAGAGCTTTCACTCCTGAGTGCCTCCTGAAAATGCGGGCACTCTAACCTCGGTCTCTGAGGGATCCTGCAGTCACGGTTCCCCGTGTACAGACAGATTCCTGAGGTGGTCAGTGGACTCTCAGGAGAAAACAAATGCGCTCCAGGTCAGAGCGCTGGCATGGCTTGTTCCTCATTTGTTTGTTAACCTAGGTTCTGACCCCACACCTTTCTTGGGCTGGCCTAAGCTCTGTTTCTGCATCTCCATCCCTCCACTTTCCGAACCAGGGTGTTGTGTAGTCTTGAGGATTTCCTGGAAGAATTCTGAGGATGCCCACACTGTCCTCCATTTTCTCCAAATGCTGTGGAATCTTGCACAAGTCTGCTCTGCTCTTGGATGGATTCCCTTATAGTGCAGTGGTAACAGCAATGAGATGCTGGTGATGGTCTTGAAGGCTAACTTATAACTGTGCTTTTGTAGAATCCCATGGGGAGAGGTAGGGATTTAGTTCTATTTCCACAAGGTGTCTGGGACTGGGACTGTGGAGACTTAACAATGGCCTGGTTGCATCCCTAAAAGCAATTTGGGTTGAGTTTTCATCAGAGAATCCCCATCCCAGCAGTCAGCAGAGAGTTTCTGCACCTGGTAGTATCTGGTTGCTAGAATGAAGGAATGAAGGCATTATGAAGCATCCTTCCTACCCTCCTCTGGCTAGAACCGGTAGATGGTGTGTGTGTGTGTGGATATTTAACTTCTAGTGACTCCTTTCCTGTTTTTGTAGTTTCTAGTGTCTGCAAGTTCCAGTGCCACTTGCTGTGAAACTGCCCCACGATCGGTGTCAGATGTGGCCTCAGCCCCCACCTCTGCCTCTACTCTTTGCTGCACGCCCTATGACAGTCGGCTGCTGGGCAGTGCTCGACCAGAGCTGAGTGCTGCCTTGGGCATCTATGGAGCACCCTATGCAGCTGCCCAGAGCTACCCTGGGTACCTGCCCTATGGCCCAGAGCCATCCCCACTATGTGGTGCACTTGTGAGTAATGGGGTGGGGCCTAGGACTGCTCAATGAACACTGGGGTGTGGGAGTATGGGCAATTAGCATAGATAAACTCTGCTGTGGCCTTGACCAGAGAAAATCTATATGGGACAGACAATGCTGAGAAAATAGCATAGTGAGTAAGGAAAACTCCAAGTTCCCAGCGCTTTACAGTTTGCAGAACTTAACACTGCTTGGTAAACATTTGTATCTCCTTTAATTCTGCAAGGCAGGGTAAATCATCATTATTCTTGACTTACAGGTAAATAGTTGAGGTGTAGAAGAGTTCAAATAACTTATCCCCAAATCACAAGCATTCCAAGGGTCGGGAATATTCTGCAGGGAAGGGTCCCGGTAGGTGTATATGAGGTGAGGAATCCAGAAGCTGCAGCCATCTTAGTAGCCGATACTCAATTGCTGCTTGTTCTGTCCCTAGGTCTCTACCAAGTGCTCTACCAGCATGAATGACTTTATTGCCTCAATCTTAGTAAGGGAGAAACTGAGGCACAGAGCATTAAACATTAAACAGCTCTGCCCAACATTGCAGAGCCAATGCAAGGGTTGGTGTTGGGGTGTTGATCTTACAGGGCACAGGTATCCTTTTGTGTAGTCCTGGATTCTCTTTTCCTCTCCCACCAGAATCCTCAGTATGAGTTTAAAGATCCTGCAGGAAACTTTACCCCCAGCCTGACCCAGCCAGGAGCCTATTACCCCTATGAGCCAACTCTGGGGCAGTATCAATATGACAGGTGAGAAATGGGGAGCATGGTGGCTGGTCTCCTTTGATCACTCTCCCTTCTCTGCCCTCTCCCTGGTAGAAGGGCGGGAGCAGGGCTAAATTTCCTGGCACCCGAACTTTCTACGGGCCCCGTTTCCAAGCCTGGAATTGGACCCTGTCTGCTCACAGGTATGGTGGAGTGGAGTTGAGCGGCGCTGGCCGCAGGAAGAATGCCACGAGAGAGAGCACCAGTGCACTCAAGGCCTGGCTCCAGGAGCACCGCAAGAACCCGTACCCCACCAAGGGCGAGAAGATCATGCTGGCCATCATCACCAAGATGACCCTCACCCAGGTGTCCACCTGGTTCGCCAACGCGCGCCGGCGCCTCAAGAAAGAGAACAAGATGACGTGGGCGCCCAAAAACAAAGGTGGGGAGGAGAGGAAGGCAGACAGTGCAGGAGAAGACTCTCTGGGCTGCCTGACCGCTGACACCAAAGGTACAGACAAGTCACTAGCTCACCTGGCAGATTCCTTAAGATATTAAACATGGGGCCCGAAGCCACCGGTGTGACTATAAGATTTTTCTGACTCTCCATTTATCCTTGCCCCACCCCCATGCAGTGCAAACCTCAGGATCTTTGCACCAGTCCCCCACAGAGAAACAGGGGAGCTCCAGCTTTTTCTCAGCTTCAAAATGTCCTCTCAGAAAGACTTCCCCTCCTCACTCAAGCTCTCAAGTCCCTTCCCGGTTTGGTTTTGCTCACTTCCCATATTTCTCACTGTAAGAAAAGTCGCTGCACTTTGTCTCTGCCTACCCCCACTAGAAGGTCATCCCTACAACCCACCCCCAACACCACCCGCCGGAAGACGTTTTTACCGCTGTAGTTCTAAATGTCTCCTGAATGTCGAAACGATGCTCTGCACACGTGAATATTTGCTGGATTAAGTAACATGACACCAGTCGCCCGTGGGTGCTAAGGTTGAAAGAAAAGTGTCCCTCCCATTTTAGAACTGAGGGACTCCAGCTGTGCAAAGTAGCCTTTCCTTGGCTTAGCGAGGTCCAGGAGATCAGAGAGGCGGGGCGGGGCGGGCAAGGCAATGGGGGGGGGGGGATTCTTTCCCTGGGGCAAACAGCCAGCCTTGGGGAGAGCAGCGGGTGGCGAGAGAATGCTAAAGTGCAGAGCGCCACTCGCTAAAAGCTTCTCTGGGTAGGACCCTCCCGCGAGTTTCCCTAGGGTACTAGGCTTTTCTCACTCGTTCTTGATTTCCTACAGACGCTACTGCCAGCCAGGAGGCCCAGGGGCTGCGACTGAGTGACCTGGAAGACCTGGAGGAAGAGGAGGAAGAGGAGGAAGCAGACGAAGATGAAGCAGTGGTCTCAGCATCCCGCAGGCTGGCGGATTTTCAGAAAAGCGCGCAGTCCCTGCCTGCTCCCTGCACTGCCGCTCAAGAGGGCCGCTTGGAGAGCAGAGAATGCAGCCTGGCGATACCCCGCTTCTCCTTCACCGAGGCCCCGCGATCAGGAGAAGCTGACTTCATTACCGCAGAGCCAAGTGACTCCACAATGATCGTGCACTACCCAAGCGGCCAGAAACCCCGAATCTGGTCCTTAGCTCACACTGCCGCAGTCAACACTGTCGAAGATGCTCCCTCAACCCCGCCCAGGGCACAAAGTCCAGAGTGCCACATGATTCCCAGACAGCCCATCTCCATCAGGCGACTCCTGGTCTCCAGAGATTCTGCAATTGATGAGGATTCTCTTGCAGGCAAAGCCTTCGGAAACTCCACATTCGCTCTGCAGGGGCTGCCACTGAACTGTACACCATGCCCGAGGCGGAGGGAGCCTGAAGTGAGGTTCCAGTACCCGTCTGGAGCTGAAGGTAGTGGGACCCCAGAGGTGCTGGGAGTACCTGTTCAAAAGATAACGACCCATCGCCCCAGATCTGGTGCAAGAAAGTCCACAAACAACACTCTCAAAGTCTAAACACGCCCAAATTTAAAGCCAAATCATAAAAATAAATGCCAAGGAGAGAATTCCCCCAAATCAGATAATCTTTGAAGAGATATACAGTCTATCCCTGTGTCTAGACCCTGCAAGGTCTCTCCCCATAAGCACCCTTGGCCCCAGCCTGGTCTTTTAGAAGAGTACTTGGCCTCTGCTTGGCTGGTACTAGAGTTGGTCTGGCTTTTGGAGCTATCTGGGGGAGGAGACATGCATACCATGGGCTACCACTGGTCAGTGTGCTGCTTCTCCTGGCCTACTAAAAGATTCAGACAGTGCAGACATTCTCTAAATTTTACAACTTGGAAGCTAGGGTCCAGGCTGTCCCTCAGGATACTCCCAAAGGTTTGACCCCTAGCATGGCAAGACAGCCATTTAATGGCCCCTTCCTCTGATATGCAAAGACCTGGTAAAGGGGAACTTTACCGCTACAAAGGGACAGTCCCTAAGCACTAGGCAGCCTCCAGCAATTACTTATGTCAGATTCTGGTCTTTGTAGTAATTTCTCTCAGGATTAGCTCTTGGCTTAGAAAATTGGGTTACATTGTTATGTGAATTTACACATAACTTGCCCAAGCATTACCTCTGACAAGCAAATTGCCTCTAGACCTTGGTTTCCCTTGGGGTGGGACACAAGCTGACCTCCGATTTTCTAGAAATTATGGCCAAGCAGCCTTTGGGTTTTAATCAATCTCTCCTCTCTCAGCAGGTTAGCACAATGGCTGCAGTTTGCAGAATAATTTTGGAAATGACAGCTTCTGGACTCACCTTCATATGAAGAAGCTTCCAGGCCTTGGCAGGGACCAGGAGTTCTCACTTTGCCCAAGACAAACACACAGAACCACCCTAGCAGCTACCCTTGCACGCAGGGCTGGCTGGGGCTGGCCAGGCACCTAATCGGACTTGGAGGGGAGACAGTAGGCACCTTGGGGAAAGCCCAGTGGATGCCAAGTATACTTTCACCTAGTCTCTCTTCCTCCTCCTCCAGATGGAGGCCTGAACAGCATCTCCTCCTGCTCACCCATCCCTGCCCAGCCTGCTCACTTTGTAACTTCCTTGTTGAAATGGTCTCTAAAGCGGATCTGTGTCTCCTTCCCTTTCCCAGGCTATAACTTCAAAAATAACCTAGCTGAACCCAAGATGTGCAGCCTATCAATGCCAGGGACGCTGGGAGAAGTCTGGCAGAGCAGGAGTGGGCCATGGACTCACCCCAAAGGCTTCTGGGGACAGGGTCTTGGGCAGCAGACCTGAGTTCCGTAGCAGAGACAGAAACTGAGGAGGCCACACACAATGCCCAGGACAGAGTATCCCCTTCCCCCCAAACTGCATCAGCCAGTAGCTGAATAGCAGAAAGACATCACAGTATTTGTTGAGGAGAAACGTTTGTTTTCTGGTCATACTGGATTATAAATTTATCGTGTTGAAGATCCACGAAGGGAAACAGCCCATTGGCCCACCACTTTCCCAGAACCCAACAATATAATAGGGCGGTTTTGAGGGATTGGTAGAAACCACAGAGGGCATATTTTCTGTTTAATCTTAAGTGACAGTAAACTCTTCCAGTACAGAAGAGGGTCAGGGCAGGGGTTTGTGTCCGTGTCCCTTTGTGAGTCTGTCTGGAGTTGGGAGTTGGGTGAGAAGTTGGAATATGCCGCAGAACAGGGGCAGGATGAGGTCCAGATCCCAGCTCTAGAGGACTCAATTTCAGCCAAGGCGCAGACTCACAGCTTCCGATACAGGCAGTGAACCAGGCAGAGCCTGGGAGGGAGTCCGGGGACTAGAAAGGAGAGTTGGTGTGCATTTGGGAACTTCATCCTACAGTCAGTTTCCTTCAGGGCTGGACCACTCATTGGTGAGACCTGCCTCTGTTGGTGGATGCCCTCCAGATCAGCATGGGGTGGAGCAACAGAAGCATCCAATTTTAAGGCCTTTAGAAGATTTGGAGAGAAATGAGGTTTGGACATAAAGGGGGACTATAGAAAAATAAAACCCTTCAGAGTAGGGCATGTCCTTAAAGATCATGAATGACAAAACTATTACCTACTATGTGTCTCCTCAGATGAGGAAACTGAAGCCCAAGGAAGGAACCAGAAAATACCTCAGATCTGCGGTTTGATTGATCCTAGCTTCCTGCTGCAGTCCAAAACCCTCCTTTGGTCCCCCCCTCATCTCCTTTGGGAGACCCTCCCCCCCAGTTTGGCTCTTGGGCAACAGCTGGTCCTCTCCCACCCCACCCCCCACCTTCCACCCTAGCTTCCCCAGGGACTTTGCAGTCGCCCTTGCTGACCTGAGGCTTAGGGTCCGGAAAATTAAACTGCGAAAAGATAAACATTATTTCCAGTCGGCTTTGCAGGATTAACGCTTGTAATAAAGAGCATTAGCTGAAGGTTTCTTTCAAGGCGCTCTCCACCATACCCCCCTCCTTAGTCCAGGTAGACCCCCTCCCAACCAGGAGACTGCAGCGGCTTCTGATACTCTGTGTAGGGTCTAGTCATTTAGTGGAGGGTTCAGGGGCCTTTTCACATTAAGTCAGCATTAGGAAACCGGCTACTGAAGCCCAAACTGCAGAGGAGAGCCTGCTAAACCCAGGTGGAAACCAGAGACTTCTTCACAGAGATTGCTGGGAAAGGGGAAGGTTGGGGCAGGCATGAGATTTGCTGGTCCTCCTACCAATACTCAAGGTCTTTTCCAGAGCTGATGGTGAACTCCAAGGCCTGCGAATGGCATGTCTGAGCCTGTGATTATCCCAGCCTCAGGCCCCCAGCCACAATCTGTTCCCACTACCTCTGCCTACACTGAGAGCCTCCTGCAAATCTCCACTATAATCTCCCAGAATCATAATTTGAATACTCTTTGATTAAATGCAATGGTGGGGGTGGGGGGTTGGAGCTTGTCGGTATCCATGGACAGCTGGCCACTGTTCAAAGTTCTTCAGAGTAAGTGTTTGTCTCACAATATGATCTTAGACCCCCAAAGTTCATAGACGGCTAAAGTGCCCTTTGCTTTTTTTGAGTGGCACCAGGGGCTAGCCTGCAGAGGACAGTGAAAATTGTATAGGAGGCCAGGGTCTCCTCCTTCCATGTGCTCCTTCGTGTGCCAGATATCACTAGATGAGCACTGGACTCACCGGGTGGCTTTGTATTTACACACACATTTACATATCTGTATTTACATAACCCGAAATGATGTCACCTTGTTAGGTGGAACATCTGGGTCCTCTATTATGTGCTAGGTTCAGTGTCTTGTGTCTTCATCTATTTGCATATTATAACAACACTATGGGGTGGGGGACCGGCAAAGAGTATAAATTTACTTCCCACAGTTCTGAAGCCTGGAGAGTTCAAGCTGGAGGCACCAGCAAGGTGTGTTTTCCGGTTTCTAGGTAGCACTTTTCATTGCATCCTCACATGGTAGAAGAGAAGGTTATCAGGTGATGGTCTTTACAAGGTGTCAATGGGTTCAGGGCTTCACGGGGAAGCCGTACTTCAGTATTTCATCACTGTCAATGTCATCATATTGGGAGGTAGGTTTCGGCGTATACATTTAGGGTTGGGCACAAACATAATCTTACCACCATCTCTAAATGTGTGGATTCATTTACATATTATAACACTTCGGAAAAAGCAATATTCTATCTATCAGTATGCTGATCTAATGAGTCAGGAAATGGGCTAATGGAGGTTATGTAGATCTGGATCAGGCATCTGTAGGTAAAGAAGTTGGGATCTTAGTAAGACAGATTCTTTATCCCCAATGCTCTCCTGTCAGGTGTTTCATCATTTTATCTTTTTTATTCAATTACTAAAAGCATATGTTTCAGAGAGTCTATGAACTCATTATTTTGTGCTCTGGGAAAGGTTGCCCTCCTTTCTCCTTGGGAATGTCCAGTGGGGAAGGGCTCTGGTTCATCAGGGTGTCCTAAGAGGGAGCTTCCTTTATGTACTCCACTGCTTGTACTTCTCTAGAGCCTGCTATCTCGGACAACACTGTTCTGCATGGGTCAAAATCAGCCTGTAACTGGAGATTCCCACAGGCTGTAGTGGACTGGGACTTGCACCCCTCTGATAAATGCCACAGGTAATGTGATGCATTTCTCACCTGGATCCTGGTGGCTGAGACTCAAGTGGCCAGACTCTAAGTTTAGCACCAAGGCAAAAGACACATGATGTTGGTCCAGAGTCAATCAATCCCTTCCCAGCACCAAGGTGAGGATCGGGCTAATACCCCAGCTGTTTCCTGACCTATCTAGGTGTGGGGCAGGGAGATGGAGGGGAGGTTGCTAAAGGCACAGGGGTGCAGCTGGACAGAAGGGACACTTTCTCACTCTCTACTGAATAGCAGGGTAACTATGCTTAACAGCAATTAATTGTATATTCCAAAATAGTGAGTGAGGAGGACTTTGAAATTTTCACGAAAAAAGACATAAATGATGGAGGGGATGGCTAGGACAGATTCCTTGGTTTGATCCTTAAACAGTGCACGATGTGCCAAACTGCCATATAATTCCTGTAAGTACATCCCACACAATTGCTATCTTAGTTAAAATTCAAACATAAATATTACTCCATGTAACATTACTCATACACAGCTCGTATCACCAGTGGTAATATTTATACTTTAGTAAATTAATCTGTATTATTGCAGAGCATTGCTGTGGTGTGAATGTGCCCCCAAGATTTATGTATTAAAATCTGATTCCCTGGAGCTGGAGAGATGACTTAGCGGTTCAGGGCACTTGCTGTGCAGCCATGGGGACTGGAGTTTAGATTCCAGCTCCGATGTAACAAGTCTGGCATTCCAGTGCATACCTGTGACCTGAACTCCGAAGGGGCAGAACCAGGAAGACGACTGAGGTTTGCTGGCTCCCAGTCTAGCAGAGAAATCCTGAGCTCCAGGTTCAGGGAAAGACCCTAACACAGGGAATAGGTGGAGAGTGACAGGAGAGTAACCTATCGCCCTCTTCTGGCCTCTATGATCATGGAGCATCCCCCATGCACACCCATTCATACACCCTCACACATTCACATAAGCAAACACGCAAATACTTCTAAAAAATACTTGAGAAAGGATCCCCCTAATTTAAGAGTGGTATTTGGAAGCCTGTGAAAAGTACTTAAATTTAAGAATTTTAACTTATCATTTAACTAAGTGGGTAGGGTACCAAGGTAGTATTTGTGGCTTTCACTCGTGTATTTTGTCACAGCAATAGATAAACATGGCTATCATTGGGGAATAAATTTTGTCTTCTCTCACTGAATGTCCCTAAGGTGGACTGTCTCCAAATTACAAGCAGGATTTTTTTCAAGTTGAAGGATATATGTCTGGAAGAATGGGGTGGGTCATGATCGTGATAATGAGTATATAGTTCTCAACCTTGACGGTACGTAAAGACATCTATGGGGGTATCTGTTTTGTTTATTCGTCATTTTAATGTTAATAGAGACGCCTATGCTATACTGTAGACCCCTTAAGCAGTATGTGTAGAGTTGTGATTCTACAGTGTTTCTCAGAGTGCCTCAGTGAGTGTAGCATACAGCCAACTTTCAGAATCAGGAAACTACCCAGGCTGTTCCCTTTCCCCAGCCCGAGCATTTTCTAAATGTGCCTGCAGCAGATGTGGCGTGAGGTCCTCTACTTACTGGAAGTCAGGCCCAAGCAGGGCTCTGGTCCCACCCTGTTCACAGCTCCTCACATGATGGCAGCTGAGTTTCTAGAACAACAGCCCCCAGTCACCCTGGCTAGAAGTTCCAAGACCCAGCCTCAGAAGTCCCTGAACATCATTTCCACTGCATCCTGCAGGTCAAGTTATCCAAGAGGAGGGGAATTAGACACTCCCAATTCATGGCAAGAATAGCAAAGTAGCCATCTTTACCAAAATTCCATCACTGAGTAGTGCCAGTGAAAGCTGAGATTGGAATGTCTTTCCTGACTCAGCTCTCCCGTGTGGCAAGCCAACATATTCCATGTGATAATGCCTTGGACAGCCCTGGTTCATTTTCTCACAGCTCTTCAATCAGGAAAGTTCAAAATCAAGGGACCAGACGACTGATTCCCTTCCTATAGGCTGTCTTCCTGGCTTGCAAATATTGCTTCCATTACATTCATATAGAGAAATGGCCCTACTCCCTTTGCTCTTCTT